TTAGCCTGGAGAAGAGGGGATATGATAGCCCTGTTTAAATATTGGACGGGATGTCGTATTGAGGAGGGCGCTAGCTTGTTTTCTGCTGCTCCAAAGAACAGGACTCGGAACAATGGATGCAAGCTTCAGAAAAAGAGATTCCACCTTAACATTCACCATGTTCACCGCCCGGATTGGTCCGCCATAGGGCGGTATATAAATTATTATTATTATAACATTAGGAGGAACTTCCTGACAGTGAGAGCTGTTCGACAGCCGAAGACACTCCCTCGAAGTGTGGTGGAGTCTCCTTCTTTGGAGGTCTTTACACAGAGGCTGGATGGTCATTTGTCAGGGATGGTTTGATTTTGAGTTCCTGCATGGCAGCAGGTTGGACTGGACGGCCCTTGTGGTCTCTTCCAACTCTGTGATTCTATGACTCTGTGATTCTAATAATGATGGATTCTATTCATTCATGTTAATTCTGACAAGCAGCAGCTTTTTAAAGTTTTCAGACAGGGCTTTTCTCCACCTGACTTCTGTCAATTAAGAAACCGTATGTAAATAAAGTATGAACTATACAATGGAGCTGTGGCTTCTGACATTTTAACTGTACAGAATGTGAGGGAGGGACTTGAATGTGGATGGAGGGAGAGAGAGATTATTTTTAGGCATTCTGGAACACTGAACATCAAAAATAACCAGTAAGGAGAACCAGGCTGGGAGATAATATGTCAGATGTTTGCCTTCCATGTTTATTTATTTATTGTGTGAATTCACAGTACCATGATTACAGGAGATAAAGGGGGGGGGGGAGGGAAATCATCATAACCTTCCAGTGTTCATTTCTAAATCTAAAGGTGTCAGGTACCAAGTAACAATAGCTTTTCTCAGGTTATTTAACACTGGAAAACCTGTTATGTTTATTGCCTTTGGCATGCTGGGGTGAATACATCAACAAAGGGACTTGTTTTGATCATTTAGAGATGGAAAGTGTGTATTTGTTATTGGTGACTTAAATGGGTTTTTCTTGGCAGGATTTGTTCAGAGATAGTGTGTATTCCCCCTGATATTTTTGGACTGTAACTCCCATCAGCCTTAGCCAGACTAGCCAATGGTATGGAATGATAGGAGTTGCAATTCAACAACATCTAGAAGACCATATCTTCATCATCCCTGTCATAGTGAACTTAACTCATTTGGAATTGCCCAGCAAGACACATTGTATGGTTTGGGTCCAGACTATCTGAAAGACTGTACATCTCAACATGAACCTGTCCAAGTTTTAAAATCTTTGGGGCAGGGCTTTCTCTCAGTCCCTGTGCTTTCATGGACACATTTATGAAGACACAGGAGAGAGCCTTTTTGGTGGCTGCTCCCAAACTATAGTTGGCCCCCTTCCTCCTCTTCTTTCACATACAGGTGAAGACCATTCCCTTTAGCTAGGCTTTTGAATGTTGACTAGCTGTTGAAGAAATGTATTGGGGTGTGTTGTACTTATTTTATATTCTTGTTGTTGCTGCTGTTATTATTTATTTTAACTGCCTTTAAAAAACTACTCTAAATTAAAGTTTTTAATGTGATTGTTTGTTTAATTTTTATATTTAAAAAGCTTTGTACTATCTTTGTTTTAACTTAAATTTTTGAATTGCCTTATGATGAAAACAGGATATAATTAAAATAAAATAATATATACATAAATAAAATGCCTCTCCAGAATTGAGATTTGCAGTCCAGAAATACATTCTTTACAGTCACTACCCATATCTATGAGGTACTCATTTTTAGATCTATCCATGCTCTTATGTATATCAAGATTTGTATTCAATGTACTTAATGCACTTGGATTCTTTTTTGGGAAATGTTATATTCTGGATAAGAGTTCTATAGGCTGATCTTACGTCTGTAAGGCAGCACATCCCATCAGATCCTGGAAGCTAAGCAAGGGTCAGGCTTCTTTAGAACTTGGATGGGAGACTGCCGCGAAATACTAGCTGCTGTAGGCTGTGTTTCAGAGGACAACAATGGCAAACCACCTCTTAGTATTCCTTGCCTAAGAAAACCCTATGAAATTAATGGGATCAGCATACATTCATAGGCAACTTGAAGGCACACAGGCACACACATGCCTGTTTCTTTGGAAGTAACGTCCCAAAGAGTCTAAGGCTTACTCCCAAGGAGATGTGCAGAGGACTGCAGCCAAAATCTCTCCCTCATCACCAAAAGTAATGAACAGTTTAACCATATGCAACATGCCTAGGCTCATTAATTTCAATGGACTAATGCACACCCAATTTTGCAGAGGATCAGGGTGTAATGAAATGTTTCAGCTGCTGGGAAAAAATAGCTTAAAGCAATGAAGGGCAATTGTGTTCTGCATTAAGGTACTCTGCTGATAGAATTATATAACCACCAGTAAGAGAATAGGAAGGCTTCACCCACTCAGCACTTCCTGGCTTCAGGGAAGGTTTCAAAATGCTCATCTTTGAGAAAGGGTTGCAATCATGGGCATCTTCCCACTTACTCAGACAGGAGAGGGCAGAGGTTCACACATGTTTGCTTCATGCCCACAGTATCTGCCGTAGGCGGCACTGAGGCTGGAGGCAAAGGGAAGTCCTGGTGAAGAGGCTTCAGAATGAATTCCTGCATCTGCCTTTAGCAGATAGCGTTGGCACTCATTCTGCAAATTCAGGCTCAGAAGAGAGGCGTGTGAGCCTGTGGTTGCAACTGGGCTTTCTCTGGGTTTTTTTTGAGTTGGCATGGTAAGTTCTGACGTGGATGTCTGTCTGCACCAGAGAGTGTGGGATGCCATGGGTATTTGGCTAAAAGCAGACAGCTTTTAAAAGTAAGTTGCTGAAAATCTCTGCGTACAACTAATTCACCTGAAGATTTTATTTACTGGCCTGCATTTTCCTGAGAAGTTAGACTGGTATGCTCCTCACTGCCCTTCCCTAGGCAAGTGAAGACTTTTTTGTTTTGTTTTGGCAAGCCTTTGGCAACTAATTGCTCAGAGTGAAAATGGGCCTTTCATAACAGACTGTTTCATATTTGCTGCTTTTCTTTTTAACGGTCATGCTGTCAACTGCTTTTAATTCTCTTGATAGTTTAATTAGATTTTGTTAGATGTGTGAAGTTTTTGTTATACCTGTTTTAACTTATATAAGGGCCTGAACAGACTGCCAGAAATAATCCATTTTGAGACCACTTTAACTGCCCTGGCTCAGTGCCAGGGATTTCTGAGAACTGTAGTTTACTGTGGCACCAGAGCTCTGTGACAGAGAAGGCTCAATGTCTCAGAAAAAACTATATTGCCCATGATTCCCTAGCATTGAGCCAGGGCAGTTAAAGTGGCAGTCTGTTCAGGCCTTAAGTTGCCTTGAGTCCCAGATGGGGAAGAAGAAGGCAGATTAATTATTAATAGTTTGTTTTGCTTTAACAATTTTGGTATGCCAATCTTTTCACCATATTTTACTATAGCAGGAGTTGGCAAGGCTTACTTACCTAAGGCCAGTCGCTGATCCCCGGGTCTTCCGCTGGACCGGGGGGGGGGG